TGTCAGCTAGCTGCCTTTAATCAAAAAGGCCAAAGACCTATAGATTTTATTTTAAAAGCTTATGAAAATGACCTACAAAAACTATAATTCTGGATCTAAGATCAATTCTTTTAATTTTAATTTCCTCTGTCCCCTTACTTGAATTTCTTTTAGGGTCACTAAGCTAAAAGCACAGTGATACAAACTTAAATTTTGCTTCAACTTCAAAGAGCCCAAAATAGGGCTTACTATAAACAAGATCATAGAAGTATAGCTGAAGAACCGGAAGAGGTCCCAGAACCCATCTTCTCCAACACCCTCACTTTATAGACTGAAGCCTGGAGAGATTTAGTGATCTGCCAAGGTCACACAGGCAAGTAGGAAGCGAAGGCAAGATTTGAACCTATCTGTAAAATGATGATAATAGCCAACTTCAGGGGGTGTTGTGAAGATCCAATAAGATTGTCTACTTTGCCAAGTAAAGTGCTTTGCAAACCTCAAAATGTCATGTAAATGTCAGTTATTAGCATTATGCTCAGGAATCACATTCCCCAGACCTCATCTAGGCCAACAACATAGTTATGTCCAAACTGCATAGTTATGTCTCCCTGTCTCTGGTTCCCACCTCAATCAATATGTCCAATGCACTACAGATAATGAACTTAATATTAGTTAATTACATATTTAAGCATAGCATGCATTTCTGCCTCCCCTGTTGCATATAGGATAAAGTCTAAACATCTTAGCTTAGCATTCAAAGCTCACTAAATTTTATTACCCATGATAATAGCAATAATTGGTATTTATATAGCATTTTAAGGTTTGCAGAGCACTTTACAAATGTTATCTCATTTGATTCTCACAATACCCTTGTGAGGTAGGTGCTATTATTATCTCCATGTCATAGATGGGGAAATTGAGGCTGAAAGAAGTTAAATGACCCAGCTAATCTGTGTCTGAAGCAGGATTTGAACTCCTGACATTAGAATGTCTCAGGACACCAGGTTTAGCGCTCTCTCTACTAGGCCACCTCACTTTCATTTTGGTCCTTATCCAGTTATCCAGACTTATCTCTAAGCCTTCTCCTACTTAAATCCACCACCCAAGCCACATTGGTCTATCCATTGTTTCCTAAATAAGTTGGATCCTTTCTGCCTTTGCTCATCCAAACCACTCAACTAGTTCAGCAATATCACTGGTTCACTCCAGTGATGCAGATTGCAGCCCCTCATGCCTGCTTATCCTCTGTGACCCCAGTCCATGTCTTCTGACTAGCTCAGCATGGAGGTCCGATGCGCTGAAAGTCTTCCTTGTGTTGGATATGCATGAAGCACGTGGGGCATCTTTATCAGTCATCGCTCCTCCTTCACTATGTAAGCAAAAGAAATTATTTTCTTCTTTCCTGCTCATTTATTTCCACGATCATGTTTCTATGGCTTCTCTTTGGTCATTCCTTGTTTGTAACATGGTGCAGCCTGATCATGCCCACTACACAGCTCTTTATCATCACAATATCTCTTGCACATGTCACCCTCTCCCTACTCCTATAGCCACTACTCAAGTTCAAGCCCTCAGCACTTTTTACCTGGACTATTGAAATCACCAGGGGCAGCTAGGTGGTGCAGTGGATAGAATGCAGGACTTGGAGTCAGGAAGACCTGAGTTCAAATCTGACCTCAGACACTTACTAACTATATGACCCTGGGCAAGTCACTTAACCCTGTTTGCCTCAGTTTCCTCATGTGTAAATTGAGCTAGAGAAGAAAATGGCAAACCTCTCCAGTATCTTTGGCAAGAAAACCTTAAATAGGGTCACAAAGAGTCAGACGTGACTGAAACGACTGAAATTACTCAGCAACAACAAATTGAAATCACCTCACAATTGGTCTCCCTGCCTCAAGTCCCTCCTCAATCCTCTTCTCAGCTGCCAAAGTGATTTTCCTAAGGTGCTGGTCCAACCATGTCACTCCAAACCCCAATAAACGTCAGTGGTTCTTTATTACCTGCCGAATGAAATATAAACTCCTCTATTTGACATTTAAATTTCTTCACAGTCTGATCCCTCTCTCCCTTTCAGTCTTTTTACACTTTATGTCCTTCTACATACTCCACTACCCAGCCAGTCTACTTGCTCTTCTCCCACATGGCATTCCATCTCCCACCCTTTGCACTGGCCTGCCCGCCATGCCTGGAATACTCTAGCTCCTCACTTCTGCCTCTTAGCTTCCCTGGCATCCTTCAAGACCCAACTTAAAGCCCACCTTCTACAGGACGCCTTTCCTAGTCCCTCTAGTTTCTACTGTCTTTCCCTCTAGGATTACTTTTCATTTTCTTTCTTTCTGTCTCTGTCTCCCTGTCTCTCTCCTGCTTCTCCCTCCTTCCTCTCACTCTGTCTCCTTGTCTCTGTCTCTTTCTCCCTCACTCCCTCTCTTGCTTCTCCCCATCCCCACTCATTGTCTTTTTCTGTCTGTCTCTCTATATATATACACACACACATATACATGTGTACATATACATATATATGTACACACATACATATATGTGTGTTTGTATAGAAAGAGACACACAGAGAGAAACAGAGAGAGAGACAGAGAGTCTTCTATGAATCTAGTTATTTATATGTTGTCTTCCACTTGGAAGTTGATAGGTGGTACAGTGGATAGAGCCCCAAGCCTGAAGTCAGAAAGACCTGAGTTCAAATCCTACCTCAGATATTTAGTATCTATGTGACCCTGGGCAAGCCACTTAACCTCTGTTTGCCTCAGTTTCCTCATCTGTAAAATGGGGATAATAATAGCACCTACCTTGAAGGGTTGTTGTGAGGTTCAAATGAAATAATATCTGTAAAACACTTAGTTCAATGTCTGGCACATAGGAAGCACTTAATAACCACTTATTGACTGACGTGTGCTTTGAAAGATTCTCATTTTCAGTTCTTCAGAGATGACAGTATTCTATGACTTAGTGCCAAACAACAATACTAGAAGAATATCAGTATTTAAAAGATGTATCTTCACTTCAGGGAGAAGTTTGAGAGGGGCATTAAGGGAACTTTGCAGATCCCCCAAGGCAATTCAGCCCATTCTACCCCTCCTGCTTCATTCTGAGTCCACTTCATTATCCATTTGCAGTCTCTATTCGTTCTGCCATGTACACCGGCAGACAAGCTCAACAGCCCATTCTCGTCACTGCATGTCATTGTCTGATGACACAAGGTAGCTTGTGCTACCTTTTCCACATCTTCACAACTGGATTGTTAGTTTTTCAAGAGTTTAACATTAGGCATCTGCCCTTGTGTTCTTGTAGTCTCAGTGCCTGGCACATAGTTGGCATTCAATAGCTTGCATCTCTTGTTGATGATAAGGATTTACTATCTGGCAATAGGAAATTCCTTCTTTCGGCAAGTATGGGAAGAGACTACCTTCCCATTGCATTTCTGTTTCAGTAAGAGGAAAACTTTCAGAGAAAAAAAAAGTGATGGAGGCTGGGGTCGTGAGAAGTAAAGGAACTTAGCTCTTACTGCCCTTCCAGATGTGAGGCCAAACCAAAACCCAGATCCATAAACTGCTGAAGGACTCTCTCAACCACCATGAAAAGAAGAAAGAAACCTTGGGTCTCTGCCAAAGGTGCTTTCTGTTATGCATAAATTTCAGGAAAAAAAAAATCAGTCATTAATTAATTTGATGGTCATACTGAGCTAATTAAGTTGTCTGGTTGAAAACAGAAATTAAAACCACCATGTAGTTACTAGGGCTAAAAAGCACTCTAAAAAAAGGAAAAAGGGGGAAAGGAAACCCCAAGTAGAAGAGAAGGGTGAAAAGTGATACCATTCTGTGAAGGCTGGTTTCCTCTCTGGGACAACAACATTCGGAATCTCAGTTGCTTCCATTTCCCTGCAAAAATCTTCCACTCATACAAGAGAGTAGCCAGTCCCTCCTCCTGAAACCACACAGCTAAATCACATAATGAGTCATGTTGGCCACTTGCAGAAAATGAGGAGGGATGGGGGGGGGGAGGTTGTGATTTCCAAACACCTGTAGTCAATTGCATTTATTTTGAGCAGCCAAAACCCCAAATTGGAACCTCTTTGCAGAGCTGCTATGGCTAGCATCTTTTGGGAATGGCTATGGCACAGTGTGCTTTTAGACCTAAGGACGAAAAATCACCTATACTTGATAGTGTCATATAGCAAAGGAAACAGCGAGGCCTCAGAGTGGAGCAAATCCGAGTGTGGCCGGTCTCTTGGAAAAGAGTCATCAGGGATGTTCTTGGTATGTTGAACCTAGCCAAGAACTGACTACACAAATCAAAGAATCTGAATTTTAGTCAATTTCTGGGCTATGCCCATCAAGCCCATTTGGACATTTATTCTTTGCCTGAGTTTACCACCCAAATGATAAATTATCTACTGCAATAATCAGCCCTGTCATCAAGAGAGCCAGGAAGTGGACATTTCAGAAAGGTCTTTTCATTTTCTCAATCTTACATTTCAAGATCTGCACTTAAGAGTCTATCTGAAAGTGAACTTGGGGGGAATAAGGGCCTATAATTAGCACATTTACTAGATGGCTAGAAGAAAACATCCCCATCTAGTAAACTATATTCTCCTTAGGGGCCTGAACTTTTTTTTTTTTTTGTGGGGCAATCGGGGTTAAGTGACTTGCCCAGGATCACACAGCTAGTGTCAAGTGTGAGTGGATTTGAACTCAGGTCCTCCTGACTCCAGGGCTGGTGCTCTATCCACTGTGCCACCTAGCTGCCCCTCTGAACTGTTTTTCCTTTTGTCTTTGTAGCCCTAGGGCCTAGCACAGTGTATGCACTTATTAAATGCTTATTTGACTTGCATTTTCTAATACCCTGGCACAAGTTGATCCTAAAGAGAGAAGTGAAGAGCAGTGAGGTTTTCATCTCTTTTCTATGGGTTGTCTGGTGTTAGTTTGGATTGTCTAAGCAACAAGCATCCAGGCTGTCATATGCCAGACCATGCCATGACTATGGTTTTCTTAAAAATGTATTCCTACCTGGTGGCACTGCTCAGTAATGTCGGTGTAGCTTCAGCATGGGGCACAGCCGTAGTTGGCCAGACACCAGGGGAGTTACTGCTGTTACCAGTGTTTCCAGTTTTCTTTCCCTGTTTCTGCTTTGTATCATAACTATTTCCAGCAGGCTGTGCTGCATTTGGTGCAGGTATCGGTGACACCCCCTGAAAAGAGAGAAGGGTGGGGAAAGCAATGAAAGGAAATTAAATAATGCATAAAGAGAGGAGAGGACATCAGCAGACCACCGGTCTCACTGCTGTCATGGAACAAAGCTTTCAACACGGGAAGTCATCCTAGTTTCTCTATTCTTACTCCCCAGTAGCAGCCAGGAGTCACCTAAAGGTCTTTGAACTCCTAGCTATGATCAACTGGTTCAGGGCTCCCCATGTGTGCTGTTGTTGAATCACTTCAGTTGTGTCTGGCTCCCCACGACCCCATTTGGAACTTTCTTGGCAAAGATATTGGAGTGGTTTCCCATTCCCTCTCCAGCTCATTTTACAGATAAGGAAACTGAGGCAAACAGGGTGAAGTGACTTGTCCAGGGTCACACGGAGATAAGTATCTGAAACTGGATTTTAACTCAGATCCTCTTGACTCCAGGGCTCAAGCTTTATCCACTGTGCCACTTATCTGCCCTAATATACAGAAGACAGTATAAAATATGGCAAAACTAAATTACTTTCTATAGTATTTAGCACATAGTAGGAGCTTAATAAATGTTTATTGATTGATTGGTTGATTGATTGATTTTCTAGGATGAGAGCTCCCCAACCTTGCTCAACAGTGCTCTCTCTGATTTCCCAGGCTCTAGATCCTGCCAACCAAAACCTCTGCTCCTGTCTACTCCTCCCAGTTGTAGCAGA